GATACAAGAAAACATTTATAAATGCATTGTTAATCATTTTTCTGTAGAAGTTCATTGAAAATTATTTTATTACACAAAGGATTTTACTCGAGAGATAAGTATTAAGAAGAAAGTTTTTATTCCTGGTCAATACTTAATACAAGTATAACAGAAAAAATGTAAATATATAATTAATGATTTCTATTTTATTTTAAAAGTTGTGTTACAGATTATGCAAAAACTGACATAAGAATTTTTCTTTTAAATTAAACACATGAAAACTTGGTTCTTCATGCTGTAATGGGCAGTTTAAACTTAAGGCTAGTATGAGTCAGAAAAAGAAAGAATAATGGTTTTTGGAGATATGTTTGTGTAGGCATTGATTAGATCTGACCTGTGGTTCAAGTTTTGACATTGCCATCTTAGAGATACCTCAGAAGAAAATAAAAATGAGCAAATAAATGTCTTGTATTTTTTTTTCTTATTTATTTGGAAGTAGAGAATACTTCAGCATACAGCGTGGTTGACCAGTTCTTTTTTTTTTCCTCCCCACCAAGTTTTTCCTCAAGATTTTATTGATATTTTCGGAGTTGATATCGCAATAAAAACTTCCTTCCATTGACTTAGCAATTTCTGAAGTTTTATCAAAGAGGATAATTTGAAAGTTGAATACCAAAAGGGGATCATAGATTTTACAAATAAAATCTGGCTTGTAGACATAAATTTTGCTTTCAGTTTGATATCTGTTTTACAATAACAAGAAGAAAAACCAACATGGTACTTGAGGTAGTATCACAAATGTGTGTTATTAGTCATAACCTTTGACCTGAATTTTATAAATATATGATTAAATCAAGCACCTAAATAATTACTCAGATTGTTTCAGTGATTCTTAGTAGAAATTTAAACATTATAAACAAAAAATAATTTGAAATTAATGTTGTTTATGTGCCATGTTCCTTCAGGCTGTAGTTGATGATGACACTCCCCAACTTCCTATCCTTTGTAGCTCTAAGCTTTAATATTTGTCTACTTGCTATTCCTCCCAACCCATGATTGATTATCAATTTGCATAAGCTTCTTCGGTATGTTACTGTTTACTCTCTGACCCTCTTACCTTCAGTGTCTTATAAGAGTCAAATTCTCCAAACCATCTTCCCCCTTATGTGTCTCTTTTATTTATCTGAAATTTTGAAAACAGAATTTCAGCTTTCTACTCATAAAAAGAGTGTCAGTAATTTTATGTTTTTTTTTTTTATCATTGATCAGTGTGCTATAATTCACTCTTGATTTGTCCCACTCAGTGTGAATAATTACAGGGATCATTGTAGAAATATTATCAACTTGTACCTTATTTGCAGTGGATATAATAGATTCCATGTACCTTTAGGATGTGGGTGTTTATGTGTTTCCACAACTTCCAGGTTATTGTTGATGTAAGTAATTCTACTTTCTCTATGGTCTCTCTTTGCTTTGTCATACTTCTCCCCATATGTAGATTACTTGGTGTTTTCTTAAATTTCTCTTACTTTCAGCATGCCCTATGAGTGTTAAATTCACCAAACCTTGTTTCCTCATTTTGTGCCAATAAATTTTAGATGTCTCTTTCTGATTATTAGCATCAGTTTCTTTGTAGTTCTTATTCTCTTTAAAAATTCCTCTGTCCATCATATTAGCAATATTTTGGCGGAGAAACACATCTCTCTCTTTTTTTAATCTCTGAGGAATTTTCCTTGTATTCAGTACCAGATAGAAGATTACATTGTAATACAGCACTCTTTTCTTTGTTTCTAAGTACATTTTTTGATATCTTAATGTTTTGCTCAGCTTCTGAAAAGCATTTTTGGTAATATTGGGATTAATGATTTCCATGTAAGGAAACTTTTGGCATTCATTGAGAAGCCAGTGCTACTTTTTGTAAAAAATCTTTCCACTCCAAGCAAGGCAATAAAGTCACTAAAACTATGATTACTGTGTCTGAAAGAATATGGCAAAAAGAAAAACATTGTTAGAAAGAATGTCAGCTTTCTTTGTAATCTTCAGGATGATGATTTGACTTAATACAATCATTCCTGTCTACCTGTGAAATGAAGGTCATCCTAAATGGGTTCTCCTTCAGTTCCTTTCACACAAACATTAACAATCTTCCTGATGTCATCAGTTCCCAAGTAGGCATCTATGCAGATGACACTACTATTTACTCCTAGCTAAATAGCAAATCTGGTATTGCTAACAAAACTAACCTCGCTATTGACCTTGAAAAAGCCTCCAATCTTGGTTGATTGGGGCTAGAAATGGCTGGTAAACTTTAATGCCTCCATAATACAATTGCTCTCATTTACCCACTACAGAGAACCCTCCCTGTCTCCTATCAGAATGGCTGATGCCCAGCTCCATGAGAGTGCCTCTCTCTGCCTGCTTGGTCTCAGGCTGTCCACTGACTTGAGGTGGAACAAATAAATTAAATCAATAGCTTCCTCTACTGCAAAGAAAGTTGGTTCTCTATGTTGTACCAGAAAGTTTTTCTCACCTGTCCATCTTTCAAATCCACTGTTCATTTTGAGGTCCTCAACAAAATCCAGAGACAGATATGCAGTGTGATAGGTCCTGATCTGGCATCTCGTCTGCAGTCACTTTCTCACAGATGTGCTGTGGCTTCCCTCTGTCTTTTCTACAAATACTTTCACAACAACTGCTCTGACACGCTATTTTTGCTGGTTCCCAAACTGCATGAATTTTAGCGTGCTACTAGGTTGGCATCTTGATCTCACCTGTTCACTATTGAAATGGTTAAATGTAGCCATCTTTTCTAGTGCAACAGTTTTTTTTATCTTGCACTTCCCGTTTGTGTAACTCCCTCTTACTTGCTTTCCTGATAGTTATCATCTTCAAATATTCAAATGTAATGTCAGTCAACATTTTCTGATGCCTTGATTTTGTTCCCCGTCCTTCTCTTTATCCTTTCCTCAAACATGCCTCTTTACTCTTGCTGTCATGCTCTATAACTCCTTGTGTGCTAGTGGCACTCCCACCTTGCTTGGGGTGAAAGGCTTTAAAAAAAAAAGAATAATAAAAGAATAGAAAAGAGAAGATAATTGATATTGCATTTAATTTTTTGAAGATTGACTGGAAAGCAAGAGACAGGATGAGGCTTCCAGATGCGACAGCAATATTCAATACATGGATGATTGGTAGACTTATGTGTAAGATAGATTCTGGTAGGAAATTGTCTTGCATGATACATGGAAGCAAGATCTAGCAATTGATTTCTCCACTTCATGTAATATAATATAATATACAATATAATTTCTCCACTTCATGTCAGTAGAAAAAGTTAGCCCAAGAAGCAGGTAACTCTCCTGGAGGTTAGCATCAGCCATGCTTTGGTAATGGTGGTATTAGCAATTCCTATACAAGGGAACTTTTGGCATTCATTGATTAAGCAACTAGTGCTACTGTCAGCTGAAATTTATAAAATCTCTTAAGATAATTTTTCAGGAAAATATGTTTCTCAAGTCCACTAACTCTTATCGTTCTTTCCATCATTGATGGTGTTTTCCTTCCTGACCTTTTACTTGAAATAGTGTGGAATGTAAATTCCTATATTGATTGATTTCTTTGTTATATGTTGTTAGCTCTTATTATACTACAAAGATAAATTTCTGCAATATTTGATTTTTATGTCCTCAATATATAACTCACATTTTGGGTTAGTCCTTCCTTCTTGCTTTTATCAACTACCTTGTCTATAGTTCTTTCAGATTTCCTATTGAATCTATTATCTGCATAGTGTATGTTAAGTCTATGTTAAACTAATGATAAATCCTAGAAACTTTTTGAGTTCTATTACCGTACAAGTTATATAAATTTGGTGAGTAAACATTCCTGTCATACTCCCCTTTATTATTTTTGGGCATTTGTTGAGCTTGTTCTATCTCCACATAAAAATTGTTTGTTTCCAGTAGAGATTAGGGATTATCTGAATATCCTTTCCATGTAGATCAAGCTTTCTTAATATTTCAAGGTTTTTGTGGATGATAATTTATTGAATGCCTTTGTGTAATCTATGAAATTAAAAGCATTAATAATTTTTTGGACTTCTTTTGCTTGTTTTTGTAGAATACTCTCTCTGTATTTCTGTAATATGTAAAGTTTCTGTCCTCAAGGGTTTGAATAAGAAATTGTGTTGTATTATCATATACTTTAAATTTGGAATTGTTTCAAAGTTCTCATATTAAAATTTTCATTAATAATTTTACTAATCCATTCTTTCAGTCTTATTTTAACTTGTTTTTATGTCTTTTTCTCTTCATTTTTATAATTTCCTTTCTGTTTTATCTTCCATTTCATTTCTTTACTCACTGAAAATATTTTTTCCACAAGCTTTTCTCTTTATGTTCTCTCCCCTATAAAATAATATTTCTCTTAATTCTTTCTCATCATCAAGTCTTTAAAGGAATATTTTCATAATTTCTTTTTTTTTTTTATTAAAAAAAACTTCGTCATTTTTATTTTTTTCTTATTCTTATTTAACTTATGAAAACTGCCTTTATTTCTTCTTTTCTTTTATTTTTCATCCAGTTTTCTCCAAAACTCTTTTTTTCACTCTATTCAATGACCTAAAAACTAAATTTATACCCAGAAATATTAGAATTTCATAAATTGGTAATCAATGCACAAAAGAAAACTTGTTTTGGACTGAAGAGGAAACATAAATGAAATGCCTGTAAATTTCAATGTCACATCCATCAATTTTTTAAAATATTTCCTCCTGAAATGGTAGATGGGTCTTATATGGCATTGAATACTGTTTATTTGTTTTTGACTTGACTGAACTTCCATAAAAATGTTTTCCTTAGTTTCTGTGTCATCCATTTTTGCTTTTTTTAAATAGCACACTAAACTTTTTTCCTTATTAAAACATTGATTTGAATTTTTCTTCACTCTTTTCCCTTGATTTGCTTTATCTACATTGGTTTTCTTTCTAATCAATTATTTCTTTTTTATTTCCTAATTATTTCATGTTCTCACCATTTATTTCTTTCTCTCCTCAACCTTGTGTCACTCTCTCTCCCCAAAATCATTTGTTTTTCTTCACTTGAACTTGTTTTTTTTCTCTTTCTTGAACGAGTTTGTTTTTTCTCTCTTTCTTGAACGTGTTTGTTTTTTCTCTCTTCCTCGAGCTCGTTTCTTTTTTCTCTCTTCCTCGAGCTCGTTTCTTTTTTCTCTCTTCCTCGAGCTCGTTTCTTTTTTCTCTCCTCCTCGAGCTCGTTTCTTTTTCTCTCCTCCTCGAAGAAGGAAGTTTTTTTTTCTCCTCCTCGAGCTCGTTTCTTTTTTTTCTCCTCCTTTGAGCTTGATTTTTCTTTTTTTTTTTTCTCCTCCTTTCAGAAGTTTCTTTTTTCTCTCCTCCTCGAGCTCGTTTCTTTTTTCTCTCCTCCTCGAGCTCGTTTCTTTTTTCTCTCCTCCTCGAGCTCGTTTCTTTTTTCTCTCCTCCTCGAGAAAAAGAAAATAATTTCTTTTTTCTCTCTTCCTCGAGCTCGTTTCTTTTTCATTCACATCCTTTGTTTCTTTCTTTCTTCAGTCATTTGTCTTTGAAAGTTACTTTTCATTCTCTTAGTTATCTGTCATATCTCTCTTTCTGTTCTATATATAATCATCTACTAACTTAGTTTGATTCATTTTTATGTATTTTTTACATTTACTATATTTTCCTTTTGAATATTTCTTTTTTTTTTTTTGGTGACATTTTATTCAAATCTCTTAATTTTTTCCACTTAAAAAAGTCTGTCTTTGTAAAAGTTATTCCTTTTTTCCATTTTTCTAATTCTTTATTTGGCTTATTTTTGGATTCCTTCTACTCTTTCTTCCTTCACTCTTCTCTAATTTGTTTTATTCTTTTTCTCTCTTTATTACTGTAATATTTTTTCCATATTGTGCACATATTCTATTATCTCTCTCTTATCTTGCATCTGTATTTCTTATGAGTCTCTTTTTTTTTATTATTTAATTTTTTGTGGTTGCCTTTCCGAATATTTATTGCTTTTACTTTCCGCTATTTTGATTTGGTACATTTGTTTTTCTTTCTTTTTACATTTCTTATTTTCTCTATTTTGATTTTCTATTTTTCTCTCCTGTTTTTTTTACTTTGCTTTCATTTCCATTTCTTTTAGCTATTTTCTATTTTCATTGTGTTTTAACATTCACTTTTCACAAATAAAATCATTCAAATTCACTTCCCTGTGTCAAGTCTTCATCTTTCCTTTTTCCTCTTCTTCCCTATTTTCTTAATTTGTTCAATTCCTCTTTATTTCTTTACTTTATATTAATCCTTTTCTTCTACTTTCACTTTATGTTTGAACTCTGAATACATTAACTTTATATCTATTTCAATTCTTCATCTTTCCTTTTTCCTCTTCTTCCCCACATTCTTAATTCTCCCAATCCCTCTTTATTTCTTTATCTTTTCCTTTTTCTTATTTTTTCATACTTTCACTTTATTTTTGAACTCTTAATACTTTACTTGTCATAATTCAGACTCTTGTTTTTTCTATCGTTATTCTAATTTCAAAATTAAACAATATTCATTATGCTTTTAATTTTTTTTTGTATTGTTATTTAAACTCTTGCTAGTTTCATCTTCATTTATTAAGTTTTTTTTCCCCGTTTCTTTCTTCATTTCTGCTTTCATCTTACTTTCACTTTCACTATTTTTCAGTTACTCCACTTCCTAGATTTCTATTCTCTTTGCTATTCTTCTTTTTCACAATAATAGTTCATCATTTCTACTTTAAAATATCTGTTAATTATTTCATGCCAACCTTGATTATATATTTCTTATTTATGCCCTTGTCTTCACTCTCCTTCTTAATTTTTTCTTCTCTCTCTCTCTCTCTCTTCATTACTCATCCATTTCACCTTTTTTAGTTTTCTCTCTTGCCTGTCTTCTCTTTATTTCTTTTATTTTGATTTCGCCTTTTCATTTCTCTGTTATTTATTTTCCTGTTTGTTTCTTTTCTTAATTTTTCCCTATTTTAACTTTTCATTTGTACTTTCACTTTCATTTTTGATTTGCCTAATTCACAGACTCCCACTAACTTCCCTCCCTGCCCTGATTCATTTCCCAACCTCTTTACCACGAGTGAGTACATCCTGCTACTCCATGCAAAATGCCAAACCCTGGATAAGCCATTTTTCATGTTGCTCATATTTAATTTCAGCCCATCCAACTGATTTCAGCTCGGCTCACGGGAAAGAAGTTTTAAAAGATGACTAGGAAAAGCTTTTAACTGGTGCCGTGTTACGGAAAACTGTTGCGAAACCCTATCCCACTATGGTGCAGTGTAACGGCTTTCTCTGTTCTATTAACTTGCATACATGTGCGTCAGGAGCACACATATGTGACATTGTGTATATGGGGGCAGCTAGTTAGTGGGTCGGTTAGGTGGTGGTTTCGTTAGTGGGTCGGTTAGGAGGTAGTTTCGTTAGTTGTTGCAGAGTGCATCTTGAATGTAAAGAAAAATAAAATATGAAGTTTGAATCTGTAGTTTTCTTGACTGAAATGTGCCTTTTTATTAAATGAAATTTTTGTATTATCCTGTTCGTTTGCTTTCAAATTCCCTTTACACTGAATCTATGCCTAAACCTTTTTGCTTGATAGTTTATCATCTTTACTATTATTGGTTATATCTATCTATCTATCTATCTACACACATACATACAAACAGAGAGTTATTTAACAAGAGATGAAGTTTGAACTTTGTAATTGTTTATATTAATTGAATATTGTATTCTTGCAATTGTTATCATTGTTAATATGATGATTAATATGATTAATGATAATCCTATAGCAACCAGTAATTTTCTTTTTATATACAGTGTAACCCGGATATAAGAGAGTTGTCGGGACCGGAGAAGAAGTCTCTTATATCCAGGATTCTCTTATATCCGGGTTTGGTCTATTTTGTTTAGGTAAGTATGGCTCTAATTTGGGACCAGAGAAAATCTCTCTTATATCCGGGTTTCTCTTATATCCCGGTCAGAATCATAAGTTGATTGATTGACAGGTTCATTTACCTCAGGAGACAAGGAATTTTCCTCTGATTATTTTCAAAATGTATGACTTTTCAAATGAAAAATCTATCTATCTATCTATCTATCTATCTATCTATCTATCTATATATATATACACATACAAAGAGAGAGTTATTTAACAAGAGATGAAGTTTGAACTTTGTAATTGTTTATATTAATTGAATATTGTATTCTTGCAATTGTTATCATTGTTAATATGATGATTAATATGATTAATGATAATCCTATAGCAACCATTAATTTTCTTCTTAGTAGAATCATAAGTTGATTGATTGACAGGTTCATTTACCTCAGGAGACAAGGAATTTTCCTCTGATTATTTTCAAAATGTATGACTTTTCAAATGAACTTTATAGAAGAAAAAAACAACAACAACAGTTTTTTTCTTTATATTATTTCTTAACTAACAGATTCTGACTCATACTGAGTACAAACTATTTTAAAATTTGTGAAAGTTGTGTGAAAAGATAAACACCAAGGAAAAAACAAGACAAGTAATGACTGAATTTGGCTGATATAATTCTAAAGAAAAATGTTTTTTTTCCATTTCAATCCTTTTTTTATTTTCTTTTAATCAAATTAAATAAAAGAAGGAACAAATAAAAGGGGAAAAAATTTAAATAAAAAATAAATACATACCTTTGCTTAATTCTATCAATTTTCTGCAGCTTAAAAAGTCAAAAGTATAAAAAGATTTTTAAAATTGATTTTCTTTACATGATTTCATTTGGATTTTAAAATTATTTTTTCTTATTAATTATTTTGTAAAAAAAAAATAAATGAGATTGCTTCAATTAACCATTTCAGACCATCAATTCATAAATAAAATTATAAATAAAACAAAATTAATGCAGAATTAAATTTTTCTGAATTTAACAACAAAAAAATATCTTTTGATGATTCTTCAAAGTTTCTTTGAAGTTTTGTCTTCATTTATTTTCAATTCGTTTTAATCTTCGTAATTTTTTTTTAAATAAAAAAAATGTAACACCCCAGCATTGCTCGGAATTCGTGTGATTATAGAGTTGTCTCCCTTATAAGTTTGATCAGAGTAAGTAAGAAAAAATATTTTTTCTTGCAAATTACCTGCAATTTGCTTTTTACTTCAATTTTTTTTTAAACATTCATGGAATAAAATGCTGATGTTGGTTTTGTATGCCAAGAGATAATCCTTCAAAATCTATACCATTTAAAAGCTTTTCTATAAGCACCTTTACTTTTAAATTTGATAAATATTTACTGCATTTATTTATTTTTGTGATTTTGGAAAATTAAAATTAATTTTATTTTAACTCTTTTATATTAACAATTAAAATTTTTCTATGTTAGATTATAAGCAAAAAAAAAAATTCTCTTTTTTGTTATCTGCCAACATATTTCAAAATTGGAATAATATTGAAGCTTCTTATCATAACTTACATTTATAACCCACTCTAACAATTGCAGTTGAAAAATCTTGATTTTTTTCAAAAAGTTTGAAAACCCATTTGTGGAATTTTGAACTCTCCTGCTTTTTCCAAATAAATTCCTTAACTTATATAAAATTAGAACAAAGTTAACTTAGAATGTTCTAAGTTAGCTTTCTTGTTTAAAATTTGAATTTAAGTCACATATAAAATTTAGCTCTTGAAATATATGTCATAAATGTTTGCTGTGTTGTTTAAAGATAAAAAAAAATAACACCATAGAAATTGTGTAATATTCCAAATTGCTTAGAATATTTTCTTAAAAAGTATCTTCCCAACAATTCATTATGACTATTTGAAGCTGTTTTTAACTGGCAGTAGCATTTTAGTACTGTCAGTTAAAAGCAGATGTTGGATGATTTCCTCAAAGATGAAGAAGAGACTAAAAACAACAGAGATGTGGTTCTACAGAAGGATGCTAAGGATATCATGAACCGAGCATGTGAGCAACGATGAGGTCTTAGAGAGGATGCAAACAAGGAGGAGGCTTATACTTAATATCAGGAAGAGGCAGTTGAAGTTTCTGGGAAATAATGAGGAAGGAGGGCCTGGAGAATCTGATACTCATGGGTCAAAAAGAGGGGAAAAAAGAGACCAAGAAAAACAATGCATGACATACCTGGTGGGCTTAAGCAAGTGTATGACAGAACATGGTCTGAGGGAGGATTCAAAGGGAAGGAACTTGTTAAAAGCTACAAGGGATAGAGGGAGGTGAAGAGACATGATCCCCTGTCCCCTGAAAGGGCATGGCACATAAAAAGAAAGAAGCATTTTAATAAGCTGTCAGAATATATTTGTTTTAGTTTTGTTTAAATTCAGCTCTTTAAGTAGTCTTTATATTATTTTAAGATATGCATTTATCAACTGAGCAATAGTGAAATAATTATTCCAGAAGCTGTGCTGTCCTTTAGTATATGAAAATATTCAAGTCATTTCTTTACAAATTCCTTCTGTATAAAAAAAAAAAAAACAAAATTAAGTACAATGTGAAAAGATGAAATAAAACAAGTTTTGTCTGCTATATTTACTGGAGCAGACTTTTTGTATCATACTGAAAAATATCAGAAAAGTAATTAGGATATATAACGTTTTAGTAGAACATCGAAGTTGTATAATTTTGAAAATATATTTCAAAATAATGACTACTTTTAAAACTGGTCTGAGGCAAAATAAAACAATTCATCTTTTTTAACTCTAATATTTTGAAAGCTTCATTTCATTTCATTTCTCTCTCTAAATATATTGAAAACAACTCTTGTGTACAGGAACACAATTAAATTAAAATTATAATTATTTTAACCTTTTGATGTTAAACAAAAATTCCATGAGATAATTCCTGGAGCATGAACTGTCAAATTTAATTATAATGAAATAATGCTTAAAAATCAAGACTGACTCATATCTTATCTTATCAATGTTGGGGAGCTTTAAGTGACTCTCTTTGAAGAAGTTTTCATAAAAGGAGAATTTTGTATAAATAAATGTTATCAATGTATAATGCCCTAAATGTATTGCTCCCGAATTTTCCCTATATTCACCCAGAAAGCAGGACAATGTAATTTTATCTGTTCATATTTTTAGTGGATCCAAATATTTGTTTTTTTGTTTAGTTAGTATATGAAAAATATATTTGTTGCTTCTATACAAAAATTGGTGAAGAATATAGCCAGACAATCAAAATTAAAAACTGTCTCATCTGTAATATTTCTTTTAATCCATTGGGAATAGTCTTTTACAAACCATTAATATTTCTCTAATAATTATGATTAGTATTTCACTATTGAATATTTAAAAATTTAATTAAAAACATTAAGGAAACCAAAAACTACCAAGTAATGTGGTTAAATACAATTCATTAAATTTTGGTTGACATTTAATTACTTACTTAAAATTAAAATGTACATTTCTAGACTGATTATGTCAGTTCAAACTCTTTCTGGGAGATGATTTAATAGTGGATGAAAATGTGACACTGAAGGGATATTAGAATAGAAAAAAGGTGTCTTTCAAAAGCTAAGTAATTAATTAAGAAATAGGAAAAATTAATTAGAAGCAAAGAAAAGAGTGCTGAACTGTTATGTAATATCGGTCTTCCTATATGGCAATGGATGCTGGACAATCAATGAAAAAGAGACTTGAGGCAACAGAAATGTGATTCTCCAGAAAGATACGGAGAATACCATGGACTGAACATGAAACAAGGAAGTTTTAAGTAAAATGGAACCAAAAAGGATGTTTATACTTGGAATCAGAAAGAATTGAAATTTTTAAAGCACAAAATGAAGAAAGAAACCTTGGATAATTTTACCCTCAGAGGACATATTGAAGCATCAACAGTGAGTAACCTACCTAGTGATCTTAAATAAATGGATGACAGAACAAGGACTTGGAGTAATGGGGAAAACAAACCTTACTAAGAATTACAAAGGATAGGAAGTTGTGGAGATCTATGATTGTCCATGTCTATGTAGAAGACAACAACACTAACAGTTGCCTGCTATTCAAGAAGAAGACTGATAATGTACATATCTTGATTTCTTTATCTGACAATAAGTTCAATAAAAAAAAAAAAACACAACATCAGCAGATTTTTTTCTCTTTGTCAAGACCATAGTCTGTAATGTTTGTGAAGAAATACTTTATAAATCCATATGAATTATAGACTCATAATTGGAACATATTTTATTAATTAGTTTTGAACAAAATAAAAAGGTCTTTTTAATGAAAATTATTAAGAAAATACAATATCCCTACTGTGTGCATACTGGCTTAATATTTAGTTATAACTTATGGAGAAAGATAAAAATTACATGGTATTTAAAACATATCAAATTGTTAATCCACAAAGGCTAAGTTTTAATCATGTATTCTTTTTAATTATTAGAAATTTTATACTTTTCAAGTAGCACATTTTAAAATGAGCTGGGCATTTTTCTGCTAAATATTTGCACATGTGATTTCTAAGTATGAATAAAAGGACAATTTATCAAGTATTCAGTGGGAGTCTGTGTGACACTCTGAGTAGCAACTCGATGTAACAGACCAAGTTAAAGTCATTAATAAATCTTCATGTGTCTAGTCTATTTCCTGTTGTACAAAAACTTCATTCTAATTCATAAGAAGAAACTGGACTAAAAGACTGAGCAGAAAACAATTTTTTTGTAATTCACTGCAACTATTTCTGGAATGTAACAATTTGGCATTTATGTCTTATCTTCTTTTCTTTTTCATTTTCTTTGTGGGCAAGTTGAATATTTTTTTACAAGGTTTAATGTTCACCCACCTCAGCCTTCTATAAGCCCATACTGCAGTTAATTGTGAATGCTATAATCATTTCAATGGCTGTAGTATGCACCTTGCATTTAGGTTTGTTGTTTTTCTCATCTGGTTTCCAGTCAGAGCTAAATGCCCATGTCTGCCCTGTTATTTAACCCATAGGTAGGATGAGAAATGATTGACTCGTATCTTTCTCAAGAGTATTTGTACAAAAGTGAATGTAATAAACCTGGCTAGAGTTTGAACTTTGGCATTTCAACTTATCAGATTTAATAAGATCTATGTTGTAACTTACGTGAGTAGATAATGAAAAACTTAATTTTTTTATTCTTGCCTTAAAATTGTTTGCTAGAAAAAACAATGACAAAAGATTTAAA